GTCTAAAACCTAGACACAAAGTTAGTCAGATTTCACTTGATCAATGACAGAGGTCACCAAATGTACAGTCTAAAACCTAGACACAAAGTTAGTCAGATTTCACTTTATCAATAACAGAAGTCACCAAATGTACAGTCTAAAACCTAGACACAAGGTTAGTCAGATTTCACTTGATCAATGATAGAGGTCACCAAATGTACAGTCTAAAACCTAGACACAAAGTTAGTCAGATTTCACTTGCTCAATGACAGAGGTCACCAAATATACTGTCTAAAACCTAGACACAAAGTTAGTCAGATTTCACTTTATCAATAACAGAAGTCACCAAATGTAAAGTCTAAAACCTAGACACAAGGTTAGTCAGATTTCACTTGATCAATGATAGAGGTCACCAAATGTACAGTCTAAAACCTAGACACAAAGTTAGTCAGATTTCGGGTTATCAATGACAGAGGTCACCAAATGTACAGTCTAAAACCTAGACACAAAGTTAGTCAGATTTCGGGTTATCAATGACAGAGGTCACCAAATGTACAGTCTAAAACCTAGACACAAAGTTAGTCGGATTTCACTTTATCAATAACAGAAGTCACCAAATGTATAGTCTAAAACCTAGACACAAGGTTAGTCAGATTTCACTTGATCAATGATAGAGGTCACCAAATGTACAGTCTAAAACCTAGACACAAAGTTAGTCAGATTTCACTTTATCAATGACAGAGGTCACCAAATGTACTGTCTAAAAAAAAAACTGACTGAGTTTACATTATAGGATGTTCTGTCTAAGGTCACGGTCAGTCACACTATAATATGTACTGTCTACAGCCTAGACTCATATTGTATAATGTACTGTCTACAGCCTAGACTCATATTGTATAATGTACTGTCTAAAGCCAGGGCCTGTATTCATGAAACCGTTCTCATGCTCAAGCATGGAATCTGTGCTCAAACCAACTTTCTGGTAACTCGCTTAGATCATGTCAAACGATCAAAAAGTCAAATGTAAACATTGAAAACAGTATTTGGCTATAAATCTCTTCAAAATGTTTCCAAATCATTGACAAAATAAGATTTATTTATTGAGTTATAACCAGAACAAGAAATTAGGCTTGAACACAAAATCCATGCTTGAGCATGAGAACGGCTTCATGAATACGGGCCCTGGACTAAAGGTCAGTCATACTGCATGTTGTACTGTGTAAAGCCTAGATGCAAGGTCAGTCGCATTGCAAAAGAGAAATAATCAATAATTAATGTAATTACAATAGGGAACAAGGAAACATTCCATTTACTGTAATTTTTGTTGTTTTTGGTTGATGTATGATATTGTAACATTTCATGTTAAAGAATGTACCCTCCGGAGACTGGTATTGTCCCGACTGTAAACCAAAAGAAACTAAGAGGAGCCCTCTGAAGAGCAGAAGACGCACATTCAGTGAGCAGTCAGAAGAGGAGAAGGAGGAAGAGGAAGAAGCAGACAGGTAAATTGAAAAACTTGCTAAATAAGATGACGTTGATAGAATTGTAAGCTAGATCATTTATAAGATACTGACGTAATGCATACAAACCCAGGTCTTCATATATTAATTATAGATTCAGCTTAAAGGGGCTGGTCGGGGAAAAAATTACAAAATAAATGGGTCTAAATGTGTTCTTTGGCCTTCCAAAAGTTGTACCACGGCAATATGATGGTCAAGTTCTTCTTGCAATGTCCAGTTTTGACCACTGAAATCTCAGGGGAAACCCCGCGTAAATTTAGCGCAGATCTATTTATTATATATGTCACATGGTTGTTTCGAAATTGAGGCATTGAAGATAACAACAATAGCACGCCGTCATGTGCCACGTCGGACTCAACTAGCGGACAAGACAGCAATACTATACGTAAATAATTGCTTTCAAAGGTCATGTATGATGCAAGTGTAGTATTCCTACCTATATGTTGTTGTTATATATAAAGGTATTGATACCTCGTGCCTGTCATGACTTTTGCATGCATCTTTTTATTTCGCCGCGATGTTTACTTTTGGCCTTGTTGATGACGCGCGTGCGGTAAAATTTCATCACTGATCTGGGTCAATTGAGAGTTTTAGACTGTCAGGTGACGATTTATGATTTCTTTAATATAGTTATAATTTTTACTCTTACGGAGTGAATTTCAGCAAAATTTGAATCGGTATATTTCATAAGAAGGTATCTTAAACATGTGTATGCCATTTTAGCAAATATGACATTTTTTCCCCGAACAGCCCCTTTAAGCAAAACTGCTATTGTCATTTCTAGAAATGAAAAATGTGTAAGGTGTATATGTATATTGTAAAATATTGGGAAATTGCCCTATTAGTGACTCATTTAAAAATACATTGTGTGACTACCGTAGTCACTTTGACATCATGGGTATCCTTTGCTGATTTTCTATATTTTCTGAATATGATGCATGTAGTTTCTTGACAGGTTTTTAGATAGGTGTTATAACTTTGTTTTGTATTTGTAGTGATGAGGAGGAAGAGGAAGCAGAAGAAGAAGTGGATGAGGAAGATGAGGAGGAAGAGGAAGAAAGCAATGATAACTTGTGTGCCGTGTGTAGCAAGGCAGGCATGCTCATCTGCTGTGACACGTGTCCCCTGTCCTACCATCTGGCCTGTGCCAAGCCTACTCTCAAGAAGGTTCCAAAGGGCAAGTGGCTGTGTCAGAAATGCTCTGGTGTCGAGAAACAGGGCAAGATCAAACTACCAGGCAAAGGTACTTCAAAGGTTTAGGAAAGTCTACTAGCACACCTGAGCTGATATTCATGAAACCATTCTCGTGCTCAAGCATGGACTATTTGCCCAGATTAGCGTTTTTGTAATTTGCTTAATCGTTTGACACAGTCAATGAACATACAATGCATAATTTTAATTTATTCTCATAAGCCCTGTCCGTACTAAGAGACCCTTATCATGGACATCAAAGAATCAAGTGTGTTCAACTCAGTTTGCAAACTAAAAATATATTTGCTCAACTGGAGTACAATGTAGTTGATATGTGCTGTGAAGGAATTACGACAGTAAAATCAGTTTTGTTAAGCCTGAATACAATGTAGTTTATCAGTTAAGTGCAGGAATTAAGATATTGAAATCGTTTTGCTTAGGTGGAAAGAAAGCATCAAAAGCAACCCCTACCTCAAGTAAGGCATCTTCAAAGAAGGGAAGTCCTCGTGACAGCCCAGTCACGGTGAAAAACTCACGTAAAAGGAGTCGTCCTGCCTCACCTATGGATGAGGTTAAACCTAAGCTAAAGAAGGCTGCCAAGTCCATGTCAAAACTGGCTCAGGATGTGAATGGAGGTATATAAATCAAGGGTTTAATACATGCTTAAATCAATTATCTGCAGATTTTAATATTTATTCAATATTATGTCACACATTTCTAATCAAGTGAAAGTACAGAATTATAAACCTGAAAAGTGCTTATTTAGTGATATGTTCATATGTATTGTTACATTTAACACTCAGAATCAAAGCTTTGTGTTGAAACCCAAGGTTTTAATTATTCTGTTATTCGGGATCTGCATCAGAGATGTATATGCCATGTCATAATTTCTGTCTGTATTGTTATGTCTGTCTTCTGTCAACACTTCTATATCTAGAGATTTTCTCAGAATCAGAAGTCTTAAATTTCTTGATATTTCATGGCCATACATTTTTATATGAAGATATGTAATAAAGCTTAAAAGAAACATTCTTCAGTCAAGGTCAACATCACTTTTGCTTAAGAATTGTATTGCTTTTTATGATCCTCTATCTTTCATTATGGTGGTAAATGGTATTTGGTGAACATATGTAATGCCAATATAAGATGGCCACTGCTCATTTGTTCTGCAGTTGTGTCTTCTGCAAAGTAAAGGTCTTTTAGAACTCTTGATGGAATCCTTTGATTTTCAGGATTTTTTCTATGCAATCAATTAGTATCAATTTAACCCAGTCTTTTGATTTTGAACCGAATCTGAAAATCAACACGGCTGTCAGAGGGAGCAGGCCATGTACCTACACTGGAATTCTTGTGTTAATACAAAATGTACAAGGTGGTAAAAAGAACTTTCAAATATATATGTCTGGTGGGTATGTTATATACCTTAGCCATGTTCCATTTATAAAATGACCAGTGGTAGAGTTGATCCAATCATCAAAGTTTACAACAAGAGGACCAATGATATGAACAGTATATGTGTTTATTATATAATGGTAATATGGGATGACTTATTTATTTTTGAAGATGCCGATATTAAGCAAGTTGCTACTACAAGTTCACGAGGCAATTCCAAAGTACAGCATATGAAGATTTGTGAAGACCTTATCCATGAGCTGGTTAAACACGAGGAGAGTACTCCATTCTTGAAACCTGTCAGCAAAAAACTGGTATGTTTGACCTGTTCTCTTAACATTACTATAAATGTCAAGGGTTTTGACCATAAGGAAAGCATGTATACAAATAGTTTGACAATCTTCATGTTGTCATTGTAGAATTTTAATCGTTTTGTGACTTACCTTTTCCTCATGCGTGTTTGATCAGAGCAGAGCTCTTCATGCTGACACAAGTTTGAATAGATGTTCGATCAGATAGATACTCGATCACACTAAGTTCAGTCAATATTCTCACACAGAATTTATCAATTTCACCTCTGCTAGATAGTTCAAGTGACTATTACTGTTGTTCTGAAATATGTACTTTGTAAATTGAAGGGTTTTCTTAATTCTCTTTGTAGGTTCCTGATTATCATGACATTATTGCATGTCCAATGGACTTCTCAACCGTTCGTAACAAGATTAATAGTTTTATATACACTGATGCACTAAGTATAGTGCAGGATGTACGACTCATCTTCTCCAACTGTGCTCAGTACAACAAAAAACAGACTCCCGAGTACAAAGCTGGAGGCATTCTTTCCAAGCTGTTCGAGAAACGACTCCGAGAAAATCATATAAGTGTTGATGACTCTGCTCCACCCAGCAAGAAACAACGCCGCACTTTATAGTGTTGAGCATAGGGTTTAGATTTTGTGTATATTTGGGAAATGGTGATCATTGATGGGATGCATCTTATTTGTATCCGTTGCCCAAGAAGTTGAGAGTTCATTATTATATCAGTGGCAACGTTTTACAAATCGAGTATAATTGTACTAAGTTTGGATTTACTAAGTCTTGTGCATGTGAGAAATTCGTTTTCAAGTGTTAATGGAAGAAAATAGTTGTTCTGAGTGTGCTTATAAATATTTCTGACTGGTAGTTTGTTTAAATGTTAACTTAATTAGTCGGTTGCTGATCTTTTATAACAAAAATTTAATGGACACAAGAGGTAGCTCTTTTGACTGATTTAAAGTCGTTACAGCAGATGTTGAATTGAGTAATCATGATCTAGGTTTGATAAGATGGAGTATGTTACTGCTAGGAATGTGTGGACAAAGATTACTGGTAGATTTACCTGTTGTCTTAAATACCTGGTTTTTTTTGGTTTTTTTTAAGTGCTCAAAGTTTGGAATTCCATTCAAGGGTTCAACTGTAAGACTAAGCATATGCATGTGAGAAACTGTTAAAACTAACTTCAAGAAGTGAGAAGGATTTATTCCGGAGAAACCCATAGGTCTATATGTACATTAAATACCTCCAAGTTCAACACTCTTGTCACTTAGTAATGGATTCAGACAAAGGCCGAAGTGATACTATATTTGATTACCATACACTGTATTTTTGTTTTGATGGTGAGTATGTGCCTTTTTACTTTAAGAAAGAAAATACTAATACAAACAAGGGGGAAAAAACTTGAGTTGATTGAGTGAGCTTATGTCAGGGAAATGTGTTCATCATCATCTCTTTGATGATATTAAGGCTTGTCCAAATAAATTACCTAAGTTTGACATCGTTTGTTAATATAGAAACAAGTGAGTGATCCAGGCCCAGTAGTTATTAGAATACAAGGCTGCCTTATCTTCTCATACAGTTTAATTTTAAAAGATTTTTTTGGATTTATGTTGTTCACAATATTTGCCATCCTAGAAAATATATTAATTTGCATGTAATTGTTTAACATATCTGTCCTTTACTGATTTCCATACAGTGATCCAGAGTGGTTCTCTGCAACAACATCAGCTTGTTTTGATCTCAAAAATTTATATATACGTTCTATATTTATTGACCTTGAACTTGTATGAACAAGCACTTGTATATGACTCCACTTTAGGATGAAACAGCTTTATGATGCAGTGTCATTCATTTTTGGCATTAAGTATCTGTTACCAAATTTTAAAGGCATTCGTCTGTACTGCCAGTGTAGTACTGCATTGATTATGACCAAACAATCTGTCAAGGCTCTAGTATTGTTTTAATCTCAACAATTTGTATACATGCTATATTTATTGACCTTGTACAACTAAGGGACATGTTACTGACTCTACTTAATAGCATCCAAGAAGTTCTTGTTCCATATACTGCCAATACCATGTTGACTGTTCATAATAAGACAAAGTGTCCCATCTATAGTGTGACATCAATGTATTACTCTGTAAATCACTATTCACATGTACACTAATGCTAGATAGTGCATCAAGTGACTTTTTGCAAGGTTTTTAATATATGAAGGGAACAATTCAGTACAGGAAATCTCTGGTTTAGATATGACACAATGACATGGTTTAGATGTGACATTATGATGAAAATAAGCTATTAGAATTTGTGATGTACCATCTTCACTAATTTACTTGAAAACTTATGCAGTATTACACTAAATAGATTTCAATGAACTAACAAGGAATTAAAAAGCAAATTTTTATGAAATTAGTAATCATGATAAGTTATATGTTTCTTAATCTGTTAATCTAGGAAAAGTGTTATAATTTCAAGGGAATTCTTTTACCAGGAGTGGTAATACTGGTTCTGTTAATAATACTGGGGCTCTTTAGCTTGTGCTAAGTGTATTAAACTATGATGCATGTTCACTTAGCTCTCAAATCATTGTTTATATGGATGGCAGTACCTACGGAACCCTGCCAGCTGATGTTGCGTTGGACCAAAGTCCTGTGTGTTGATGTGGTTACACAAGTCGACTGTTACAATATTTATGAACATGTCTTACCGGTATTTCTATATCTAGATTACTGTCTGTGTTATCAATTGCTGTACTATTAAATTATTGACAACAATACTGAGTTTCTTTAGTATGTATATCAAAGGGATTATTATTACACCATAGAATGAGACAATTTGGAATCTGCTGCTTCCTGAAGAAACCTTGCCATGCACAGGAGATATATATGGTTAACTGGCACATGCACAGTAATTTTCCGACCTTGGTGTAATTAAATATTATTTTTTAGCTGGAATGTGAATCGTGGGAGCTGTTGCTATCCGCTTTTGTCCGTCGTAAATCTTTTAAAGTTAAAATCCTAGTCAGTATCTTCTATAGTGCTAAATGATGAGCACGTGGTCAAGGATAATTTTTAGCTCACCTGCCCGAAGGTTAAGTGAGCTTATGCCATGGCGCAGCGTCCGTCGTCCGTCAACTTTTCCTTTAAACCGCTACTTGTCCAGAACGGCCCAGTAGATTTTGACCAAATTTGGTCAGAAGCATCTTTGGGGGAAGGGGAAAAACCTTTGTTTGGTCCATATTTGGTGTGGTTCATCCTTGGGTAAAGGGGAACCAATTTTGTATAAATGGTGGGTGGGGGCTGAGGGGCGAGGCCCAATAGGGGAAATATAGCAAATACTTTAAAATCCTTGTTCTTCTGTAGGAATGAAAGGATTTGTTCTGAAGCATCCTTGGGTAAAGAGGAACCAATTTTGTATAAACCGTGGGTCTGGCCCCTCAGGGGCCTTAGAGGTGGGCCCAATAGGGGAAATAGAGATTAAACTTTTAAAATCCTTCTTCGACCATCGGGATTAAGGGATTTTATTCTAATTTGGTTTGGAGGATCCCATGTATAAGCAGTGGGTGTGGTCTCCAAGGGGGCAGAAGGACGGGGCTCAATAAGGGAAATAGAGGTAAATCTTTAAAATCTTCTACCAAAAAAAACCCCAGAACCGTAGAAAAGCAGAGAGACGGTGGCGATGGACCAAATTAATCGTTCACCAACAGATGTATAGAGAGCAATGTCGGCTAGTTGGTTCACTACTCTTTCAGTCAAAGAAGGCTTATTATTCAGAAAGAATCAAAGAATGGGGCAAGGATAATAGACAGCTTTTTAGACTCACCAAAAACCTAATGGGACAGAAAGGTGAGATTATCCTACCAAGCTGTAATGCTGAAAAAGACTTAGCAAGCAAGTTCAGTGATTACTTTCTGAATAAAATCATCTTAATCAGGAAAAATATTACCGAAGTGAACACCTCTGCTGATATTGACATCTCTGTCATGACTGCTGACATTGCACTTGATAGGGGACCATTGGCAAAGCTCTCACCAACAACCAAGGACGAGTTGTACAACATTATCATGACCTGGCAATCAAAATCCTGTGAGCTTGATCCACTGCCTACAGACCTATTAAAGCAATGCCTTGAAGCACTGCTTCCTTTGATTACCTCAATCATGAACAAATCATTGGCTGAATCAAAGGTTCCATTATGTTTCAAGAAGGCACATGTCAGAGCATTGTTAAAGAAGCCTGGAATGGACAAGGAGGAGTTGAAAAACTACCGCCCAGTTTCAAATCTGCCTTTTCTGTCTAAGATCTTGGAGAAGATTGTGTCCCTGCGTGGAGAGGTTCATCTCCATGCAAACAGTCTCCATGACAACATGCAATCGGCCTACCGCATGGGACACTCTACTGAGACGGCCCTCCTACGTGTACATAATGATATAGCTTCTGCATTGGATAACAAGTGCAGAGCTGTGCTTGTCATGCTGGACTTGTCAGCTGCATTTGACGTCATCGACCATGGCATACTTTATAAACGTCTGGAATACTCTTATGGAGTGACTGATACCGCACTATGCTGGATACAGTCTTACCTGAGTGAACGACGACAGTGTGTTGCCATCGGATCTTCCACCTCACATGACAAAGTACTAGATTTCGGGGTTCCTCAAGGGTCGGTGTTAGGACCACGAAAATATTGTATGTACTCCAAACCGATTGGAGAGATTTGTCGTCGCCATAGCCTTCGCTATCATTGCTATGCTGATGACACACAAATTTACATGGTCATAAAACCACAGGACAGTTGGAATACAGTCTCAGAAAGTCTGGAAGCTTGTCTGACAGATATCAGTATCTGGATGAACGCCAACATGCTTAAACTTAATCAGGAAAAGACGGAACTAATCGTCTTTTCCCCAAAGTGTCAGCAAACAATGGCTCTCCAGCTCAAGGTTGGTGCCAGAACTATTGAGACTGTTCCAGCTGTTAAAAACCTAGGGGTATACTTTGACAGTTCTCTGAACATGGAGAAACAAGTGAACGCTATTGCCAAATCCTGTTACTACCAGATCAGGAACATCGGCTGTATTCGGCAGTTTCTAACTGCAGATGCATGCAAGATTTTGGTGCATTCACTTGTTACCTCTCGGTTGGATTATGGTAACGCCCTGCTCTGTGGTATATCTGACAAACTAACTAGTCGTCTGCAGAGGGTTCAGAACACTGCAGCACGGCTAGTTACTCGTACTCGAAAGAGAGAGCACATCACACCTGCGCTTTATTCGTTGCACTGGTTACCTGTACGATACAGGTCGCAGTACAAAATTCTGGTATACACATACAAGGCACTGAATGGAACAGCTCCTCAGTACCTACAGGAGCTTGTTACCCTGTATCAGCCGTCACGATCACTGCGGTCGGAGTCAGAATCTTTGTTGTGTGTCCCAAAATCTCGTACTGTGACCTACGGAAACAGATGCTTTGGAAGGGTTTCGGCTACGTTGTGGAATAGCTTACCATCTGTAATTAGAAAGTCCAATACCCTGGCCAAGTTCAAGAGGGACATCAAAACTCACCTTTTCACGTCTGCATTTTAGAATCTTTGCAAAGACGTTATGTAAATACCACCCTTTTATTTGTTCAATTATGTGCAAATTGCTTGCTTAAATGTATAAAAGTGATTGTAAGCCTTTGTTTTTTGTTTTCACAATTATAACCATTACTATTATCCATATGTTGTAAAGCGCTTTAGAGTAATTTTACAAATTATATAGGGCGCTATATAAATGTTGTATATTATTATTATTATTACTATAGGGATGAAGGGATTTCTTCCCAATTTGGTCTGGAGAATCCTCGGCGAAAGAGACTCAATTTTGTATAAACCGTGAGTGTGGCCCCCCTGGGGGCAGATTGGTGGGCCCATTAGGGAAAACATAGCAAATTCTTCAAAAACCTTCTTCAGTACGAATAACAGGATTTTGTCCAAATTTGGTATGAAGCATCCTTGGGTGAAGGGGNGTGATAACGGTGTGTCTAAACCCCCCGGAAGCAGAGAGGCGGGGCCTGATAGGGGAATTAGAGGTAAAACCTTTAAAATCCTTCTTTTACCATAGGGATTAAGGGATTTTATCCTAATTTAGGCTGGAGCATCCTTTGGCCAAGGGGACTCAATTTTGTATAAGCAGTGGGTATGACCCCCCTAGGGGCATAGGGGTGGGTCTCTGTTTGAAGTTTGTTCTCGCTATTCTCAGGTACTGGATGGATCTATCTGAACCATTGAGTGCTATATCTTTACTTTATACCAATTATTTTAAACACATTCAGGTAAGCGATACAGGCCATCTGGGCCTCTTGTTGTTATCTACGAGTCAATTACATATTTAAATCCAAAAAAAAATAGAAAAATAAAAATTGGAATTTAAAGCAAATTGCAATTTTGCTGAAACTTAATTGAAACGATTAATATAGTCCAGATCGGTTCTTGTTATTTTGGAACTGATTTTAAATTCAATATGCAAATTCTACTGAACCAATTTCACCCAAACTGAAGTGATGCGTGCATGGTCCTGCCAAATTGTTGTCATTTCGGGGCCGAATTCTGCCATGACAGTCGGCTTGGACGTATATCGTATTGTAAGATCAGAATGCTGTAAACGTGACGTGTAATAGTAGAAGTAGGGACTCTTAGTGGTTTTTTCGTCTTTTACTACAAAGCCGTTCTCTGTCAACTTTCTATAGTTTTTAGCTCGCCTGGCCCGAAGGGCATTTTTGTTCGAGATTTGTCACAAGAAGCCTAATATTTGCCCAAACACCAGACTTTACTTTTCAAAGATGTCTGATGTGGCCAGACATACTTGTCATAATGTTTAAGACTGGTGCTGGGGCCAGAGGAAACTGACTAGACCATCATCTGGTTTGATGTCAAAGAAAGTGGTTTGTTTTCGCTTGGTACTATATGGTTTCCTCGTACTCAGCTTTGTCAGCCGACATCTATGAGGTAAGTCTTCTTTCACTTTTGATCGGTCCGAGAGCCTATACTGTGCATCAGTTTGTATAGTGGTAGGAGATGGTATTTGATTTATAATTGCATATCCGGTTTGATCCTTCAACCGGTAGGATCTGTGTCCTGATGTGGTATGGTTGGGTGAGGAAAGACGCCTTTTCCATTATTTACAGTATTTCTTTACACAGTTTTCCTGTCAAATTGGACCGGACGCTTTTATACGATCAGGCTTGCATTGGATGTTATGCATGGGTGTTTAAAGGTAAGGAAAGTCTTACCTGACTACCTGTTTTTTCAAGCAATGATGTTAGGATGTTGTTGGCATTTCTGGGTCCTGTTAGACGTCTTTGTATAAATAGAGGAAGCGGTGGATTTTATACATGGTTTTGATAACATCAGCATTAGATTTTGCCTCAAATTCTACACATTGTGATCACCTTTCGTCCGTCGATGTACCTTAAACAATTATATTTTAGATTTCTTCTCAAAAACTGTCTGTAAAAGTTTGATGAAACTGGTTGTCTCAGAGTGCAAAATGTTCAAAAGACATATTTTCGGAAACTTATGGGTGGATTTTATGCAATATTAAAACTGAATTATTATTTATTTCGTTTGTTTGTATATCATTTGTCAACCTCAATAAGGTGACCGTGAAGGCCCTTGACCTCTTGTTTTTAGGAATAGAATGCCTTCTTTCCTGTCACTGCGGTCAGTCAGCAAGGTGTGCTCAGATTTCCTCTGTCCTGGAATAAATAAGGATCAAATGTGACAAGTATGT